CCTTTGGCTTGACACTGCTTAAATGCTGACTGATTAACTTCTGGTAGTTTAAAGAACATGCTTCTGGCTACTGAGCTGCTAATTTCTTTTCACTGCTTCTTAGCATTCTTCTACCAGTTGGACAAACCCTGTCAAAATCCATACCCCCTGCAGGGGTTCAAGGCCAGGGCCATCCCATACTGATGGATGCCATGTAGCCATGCATAGAATTTTTATTTTACACTTAATAGTTGTTAATAAAAATGTTTAAAAAAAAAAGATTTTTTTTAAAATATCATTGTTTATTATTTAATCATTTATTTGTATGCTGTAATGCACAGTAACACCATGAAGAGGGAGATAGAGAGAGAGAAAGAGAGAGAGAGAGAGAGAGAGAGAGAGAAAGAGAGAGAGAGAGAGAGAGAGAGAAACACAGTGACAGCTGCAGCTGGCAGCTTTGTTTGTGAACAATCCTCATGTGATCACCACTATTGGGTGTCATGGTAGTTACATGATGGGAAACGGTACTGATTGCTTCCCAATCACTTGCCTGAGACAGTCGGCTTTCTCACCTTGGTCTCAAATCTAGGTTGCACAATGTAACGTTAATTAACCTTCACTCAACGTAGGGCACCATACCTGAGAACGTTAATCTACAGATTGCGTTAATAAAAATTTAAATCATAATTAATTATGTATAACTTTTTTTCTAAATATCATTTATTATTACTTGTTATTTAATCATTTATTTTTACAAACTGTAATGCACAGCAACACCACAAAGAGGGAGAGAGAAAGAGGGAGAGCCTCAGTGACAGGTGCAGTCGGCAGCTGTGTTTGTGAACAATCCTCATGTGATCACCAAGAATGACTGTCATGGTGATTACATGATCAGCAACTATACTGTTTGCTTCACAATCACTTGTCTGAGATGGGCTTTTTCAAATCTAGATTACAAAATGAAACGTAAATTAACGTTCACTCAACAAGGCGTACCATACCTGAGAATGTTAATCTGCAGATTGTGTTAATAAAAATGTAATAACAATGTAAAAAAAACATGTACTGTATATGTTTAATTATTTTCTAAATATTTATTATTAGTTAATTTTTAATCATTTATTTTTACACACTGTAATGCACAGCAACACCACAAAGAGGGAAAGAGAGAGAGACACAGTGACAGCTGCAGCGGCAGCTTTGTTTGTGAACAAACCTCATGTGATCACCAAGATTGGCTGTCATGGTGATTGCATGTTCAGGAATGATACTGTTTGCTTCACAAGCACTTGTCTGAGTTGGGCGGCTTTCTCAAATCTAGATTGCAAAATGTTATGTAAATTAACGTTCACTCAACATGACGCACCATACCTGAGAAAGTTAATCTACAGATTGCAGTTGTAGAGGGGGTTAAACAATTTACAGTATTTAGGAAAAAGTTTCAGCATTAAAACTGCATTTAATAAAATATTGTTCATAAATATTTTATTGAATTTTACAGCCTCGGCTCGTCTGCTTCTA